GCGGCATCCCAACCACTATGCTGGTTGGCTCGCCGGAGTGCATGGCCTAAAAGAACTCTCAGGTTTTTTCAAGAAGGCCGACGCCGATAATATGAGTGTTGTCCTAAGTGAAGGCGTGCTGGCAAGCGACGTCTTGGGTCCAGCTGCCTCGCTACTTTGCTGCCAATTAATGTTCGTGTTTGCATGCAGAAACTGGGTTTACAGCCTGCCCACAGTATACTACACGGCAGCTGACACAGTAAATTGCTTATCAAGATAGCCAACCTTACCCTTAGGATGTTCAAGGTGGATACGCAGTGCAGTGTTCACTTTGTGCACCAATTGTATTTGGTGTTTCTTTCAACGGGCTCGGACGCATTCTTTACGAGCGGAAGGGTACAGTGGGCTGTTAGTTTGAGCACCTTGCTGAAAGTAACTGGGTTTCTTTGACTCTTGCTGTCTCGTGTATCGGTGTTACGAAATACTGTTAATGCCCATTTTGAACCTAGCTGGAGTAAGGGATTTTGATAGTTTCGTTAGTTGCCTATGTCGGAGCATGGCGTATTTGCTCAAGAAAGCGGACTCTTCCGCCTATGTACCGCACAAGTCTACTGAGCAGTTTAAGCGGTAGTGTGGAATGAGAAAAGAGACAGCTCAACGCACTTACCTAACTATAAACAATCCGACGCCATTACCATGCGCTTAAAACCACGACTTGGAGGTTTGTCTACCGAAGGTATAAATGGTGTCGTGCGGTCAGCCCAGTGTGTGTTTGCAAGGGGTGGCGGAATGGAAGTCGGGCGACAATGGCTCCTTCTTAATTATACCCTTATGGTACTCGCATTCCATTGGCCTTGGGTCAAGTGGAGCGACACGCTGCGGAGCGGTTCTGGTCGTGCCAGCCACCTGCGCCCTCCAGTCTTCTTGACTAGATGCCGGGTTCTGGAGGGAGAGGGGGGCAGGAGGGAGAGTGCGGTAAACGCAACGCAAGTCTCCGATCACTTAGAAATGAGCCACCGTGTTTGGCTTCAGCCGGTCGACGTCCGAACTTTCATGTCAAGTGAACTCTTGCCAGTACTCCCTTAGTGAAAGATGGGGTGGTTGTTTTCATAATGTGGACCTACTGCTTGCGGTCGCTTTCATTTGCTATCTCTAGCTCTCTCGGTACTCAAAGGTGCCAAGAAATGGGAGGACTTCATCAGCTCATTTAACAGTATTAATTCAGTTAACCTAGGTGCTAAGTTAATCAAAAATCCTGAGACTTTTGTACGGCAGGTAGTGGATCTCCTCGTTTAAATTCAACTAATAAAGAAAACGATTTTTCTGTTTGGTAAGTACATAGGGGGAGCTGTTATGTCCATTCAAGGGTAGTACAGTGTCCTCCAAGCACAGGAACGGGTTTCATTGTTTCACCTGCTGTAAATGGAGGAAGTAAGTCGATGCCTTCTTCTTCGCCATTACCACCACCGACAGATCCCTCCCGGTATCATAATCATTCGCCCCACTGCTCTC